TCAGTATTAAATGCCTCTGATTATGCGCGAAAGAAAGGTTTAAGTAGGCAAATAAAATCAAAAGGAAAATCGCAGCCAGATGTCGTAAATGCAATTTCTAAAGTTACATCTTTACTAGAGAATAAATACTCTTCAATTTCTCTTCTTATTTTTATTGTCCCTTCTTTTTTTTGATAGATCAGACCATTTCTAATAAAAATGATGAAAACTAAAACTATATTCAAGTATATATAAATAATCATAATAATAATATAATAATTACATATACACTCACCCGAAAAAAAAGCGGTACACTGAAAATGTGGGAAAAATTCATCAAATTTCAACTGACGATAACTTCGTAAATAATAAAGATAGAAAGTTCTATAAAATATGGAAATGAAGCTAAAAATCTCTACTTTAAGAATCAATTTATTTCAATGTTGCAAAATAAATTTATTGGAAATGGCGGATGACAAAGCGCGAGCATGCAAAATTGAAAAATAATGGTTCGAGTTTGCGACGGTGCACGGTATAACAAAAAATTGTAGCTTATTGGGATCAAAAGCGTACGAAAGTACAGAGTCTCCTCTTTAAAAATGCTTTTTTATGCATCTCGATACGATGATTTTTCGCCGAGAGATTCGCATTTGAAGAAAAAGGCAGATTCTTACTTCAAATGCGAATCTCTCAGCGAAAAATCATCGTATCGAGATGCAATAAAATAGCATTTTAAAGAGGAGACTCTGTACTTTCGTACGCTTTTGATCCCAATAAGCTACAATTTTTTGTATATACCGTGCACCGTCGCAAACTCGAACCATTATTTTTCAATTTTGCATGCTCGCGCTTTGTCATCCGCCATTTTCAATAAATTTATTTTGCAACATTGAAATAAATTGATTCTTAAAGTAGAGATTTTTAGCTTCATTTCCATATTTTATAGAACTTTCTATCTTTATTATTTACGAAGTTATCGTCAGTTGAAATTTGATGAATTTTTCCCACATTTTCAGTGTACCGTCTTTTTTTCGGGTGAGTGTATATTTATTATAATATTAATCTTAGTTTATCCTTTACGAGTCAATTTGATCCAAGCGAAAATTTTGAAGGTTGGTATTTCGACGTGAAAAAACTTTGGGGGTCTCTTAGTAAGCCAGTCGGACCCTCAGTCATTTATTATTTCCAAAATAAATAAGAAGTAAAACTAGATCTGTGATACTCGAGTATGCCAAAAGCTGTTGTAAATTTCACGACAATTTTGACAGTTTTTTAAAAATACTATCCCATAATTATTAAATCTTGAATTATTACACATGTAAACATAGAACATATTTTTTCTTAAAACCTGCAAAATTTCTTCCTTTTCTATAGTGCACTAGATTTTATACATTAAAAATATATTTTCAAAAAATAATAATTACAGCAAATTTAGAATTTAATTACCTTTTGTAGACTCCAAACTATAATACATATACATTAAACCAGTTTACATTTATAGATATTTGGGCATATATAAAAAAAGTTCTAGGTCTCACGAATTTCATGCGCCAAACTAGGTAACAAGAAATAAGTATGTCACAAAGAGTTAATAATTTAAATTGTACTTACCAACGTAAGTTCCAAACTTCTTGCTGTTTGCACCTTCGTCAAATCGTTCTCCAGTGCTAGGTGGCACAACTGGGCGTACCTCGAATATTTTCAACTTCTTGCAGGTGGGTGGTTTACTTTCCGCTACGTTCGCTTTTGTCTTCGCAGACGTCTTTAAAGTGGAAGAAGAAAAAAAAGAATGCTTTTACCTCAACGTGTCAATTCTATTACGCATAAAGATAGACGGACAGTACTTACTCCATCTTTTTGATCGATTAAAGCTTTAATGTGGACGAGCAATGTTCTAGCCTTCGAACGGAATAATTTCGGGCTTGTTAACGTTACGCATCCAGAGCGGCAAGACAGATCCATGCAGCGGTGCAAGTCGATAGGGCCACAGAGAATTTCTGTATTGTGCTGACGTTGATATTCCTCCGTGATAACCGGATTTTCATTCTTTTGCTCGGCGCCTATGTTAAAATCGATTCTCTCGTCCACGGGAGTAAGCGGAGTTCTCTGATGGCCGATTCTCTTCATATTTTGCTTCAACAAAGTCACTTGGATAGTCGGCAATTCCTGGCAAAATGCAAGCAAGGTAAATCGAACATCGACGTGTCCTATGCTTCCTAGTGCACTTCGAGGTAGAGTGAGCTCGAACACGTGTTCATCCCAAGTAGTCCTAATATGAGACAGAAAAAATCTATATGTATAACTTTGCACACTATACTTTTTTTTCAATCGCAAAAAACGTAAATTTGCGAAACATCCTTCTTTTTGTTCGATGATTTTTAAGTACAAAAACTACTGGTCCTTCAATTTTCAAAAAAGAAAACATCAATTTGAAGACGATAAGAAAATTTGCAATTGAAAGACAATACGATTGTTCCCAGACAACTTTTATGGCTTTCGAAATGTTCATAATTGTGCTAAACTTACGCGTCATTCTGCAACCGCCAAGTTCTCGTGTGATGCTGATCTTCCGATTGGTGAAGATGCTGCGGATGACGCCGTTGCCTTTGAGCTTGCACCATTTCACTCCAACAGGGAGGAACAGTCGCGCTGTACGCAGGGGAATGTCGATCGAATCTCGTAAGTTCGTATAAGAGTCGTAAGTCCGAATAAGAGAAACTCGATTTATGCGCCAGTAGCTGATCGCTAAAACAATAAAAATATGTAAATGCTTTAGAGTCGTAAGATCATCACGTAGATAATGCTTTCGCATGGTATTTTACAGACTACAACGAATGTATTGGCAGTAAGTGAAATTATTGATTTCTAATGCAGCATCTAAATAAATAATCGAATTTTACTCTCAGCAAAAGCTAACTTTTCAATTTTCACTCAAATAAGGAGTTCGATCGAGTTAATCGGAATAGTTCGTGTAGAAGACAAAAACTTCTCAGATAGCTTTCAAAATATTCAAATATCGTAGATTTGTTAAATAATGCATTAAATACACGAACTTACTGGCAGATCGACGAGGTTGATGTGCTAGGAGCTATATTTTCGCTAGTGAAACTTCCCTCGCTGCCCATATTCACATCGTCGACGTCATCTTTCTCTTCCGCGGAATCCTCTTCTTCCGCTGTGATAAAGAAATGCAACGTGCCATCGCTCGTGCACACACACAGCCTTTCTAAGCCTGAAAATAACGACGGTGATCTTAAAATACACGTTTTCCACTCTTATAAGTATTCGAAATCGATCATCTGATCACTCACTCATTTCCTTCTCATCGAAAAATACTTACTGTTGCAGTAAGTCGCGGAGATAAATTTCTTGCCTTCTAACCTCGCCTCCGTCACAGTCTTCAGCGTGTTTAAATTTAATAATCTGACCACGCCGTCTCTACATACCAGAGCAACTTGCCCAACGGGTTCCTGAACGGCTGGCTCATTAGTAGAATTGATACTAGAATTCATAGAGGACGTCGCGCACTTTTGTTTCTCCTGAAGAGGAAGGAGCACGTGTTCGATCGGTGCTTGTTCCAAAGGTAGTTCTCGCTTCACCAGCGGTTCCGACGACACTTTCACTACCGGCCCCGAGAAATCCAAGGCGTACACGAGCAACACAGCGGCAGCACTCGTTCCACTTTCATTACTGCGAATTTCGCCATTTATCAATTTGCTGGACTGACTGTCGTTGTGGTCCCAGTACATGTAACTCTTCTGCGGGAAGAAATCACTCTCGTCGTCCACATCCATCTGATTGGTATTCAATAAGGAAGATTCGGCGGTGGAGGTGTTGTCCACCGCGGGACACATCGCGACGTACAAGTGTCTGCCGTCCTTGGACGGAGTTATACATGTGATGCGGAGAGAATCCGGTGCGTTTATAGCTAAAGTTTTGATGACCACCGGTTCGGCCTTGGTGATCTTCAGCGTAAGATCTAAGCTCTTTTTGTTCATCGTTGTCAAGTCAGACGTCGACGCGAAGTGGGCCGTGCCGTTGATGGGAACGAAATTGTGATCGATGTCGACGTAGGGGGTCGACGCCGTCGGCGCGGGGCCGATGGGAATGCCGATGGGACTCGAGTAAATGCCGTTTGAAGACGAGGCGGTCAGTGTGGTGGTCGGGAAGATTCCGTCGTAATGCGGACCGACCACCATGTCCGAGTCCACATCCTCGATAACTGGCACTTCGTATAAAAATTTGCCGAGAAAGAGCTCCTGGTACAAGCTCTCTTGGCGACCGCCGTTCGAGCTGGCACTGGTTCCAGTCCCGGAGAGGGTCTTCTTGGTCTTCGACTCTTTCGTATTGTCCTCCTTAATGGGTTGCGTCGTCGCGGCTTTGTGATGAAAATCTAAGAGCACTAAATAATGCGACCTCGACGATATGTACCTATCACCCGCTACTTTCATTATATCTAAAGTATCACTGGCGGCACTATTTACACTGTTCATCGCGCGGACCAGCGACGACGAGCTCGCCAAGTCGCTTGAGGCGGCCCATACGTTTTCTAAGGTTCGTAATTGCGCGGGATTGTTCACCGTCACCGTAACCCCACACACTAAACACGGTCGAATTTTCTGGTCTGACATCTCGCTGTTCACAGACGATGTAGTCGTGGAGTTGGCGCTCTTCGCTTCCTCCTTCGGCGTAACCGGAGACCCTACCACCGAAAGCGCCGTCACTTGCACTTTGTAAAACGGCGAGGATTTGTATTCTGGAAGCGGATTGGAGTCGGAGCCTAGATTCAGATACGGAGTCGCCACATTCCTCGCAGCGCAGAACTGTATCGATTCCTTGTTGTTTATTTCTTGATCCACGGGGGATATATAAAATGATACCTCCCTCTGCAAAACCAACAGTTTATCGTATTATTTTCATGGAGAATCATAATGCGATACGTAATGATAAATGATAATTATATTATAAATAATGATTAATGATAATTTATTTAAGAGACATCCAATCTATTTGAAAACATTTTCCGCTCAATTAGCTCAACCGTGTGTAACATGATCGTGTTTCTAAGTAGTTTATCTTTCTACCGCGTAAGTTATCTTATTATGTCAAGTCAGCGCTAATAACGACGTTGGATCGTTTTCGCTGCTAAGACTTGAATTTATATTAAAATGGAGATTAATTGCTCCGCGGATTGATCCAAATCTGTTCAGTCAAAAAAAAAAAAAAAACACTATTAACCTCGAATGCTCACCTTCAACTGATTCGTTATGTTCCAAATATTTACAAAACCATTGGAAGAGGCTGTAGCTGCGAGGCCCTTGACATTAGTAGTACCTATGACGTCCACCGTGTCGCCTGGCTCTCGCGCGGGGGCGGTTGCGAGGGTGACGGAAAGCGGAACGTTCTGCGTGTATTCGCCCTTGACGAACGGACACGCAGGCGAATGTCTCTCATGCTCTGACCATGGCTCGTCTGTAGGCTCCCAACATACCAGACACACGTTACAGGTGAAGCACATCGCTCTGTCATCACCTGTGGTGTTTGGTTCATGATAGAACCCAGCCTGTGCCATTTGGTCGGGTAAAGCCCATCTGAAATACATGTAAATCAATTCTTTATAGCTGCATATAAATATTATCCAATTAAATATTATTAAATATTATCCAATTGCATTAATTATTTAAATTCGTATATTAGAGATAAGTTTCTGTCGCTCATAAAGAGATCGTTCCAAAAACAGAAACTTTTATTATCGCAATATCCATCTTTTGCCTGAAAGACGGCAAAAAGAAGTCGATAATGCCGGAAAATATTTTGACTAAAAATATTGCATCATTTATAAGACATTACTGCAGAAAATCGTCTTAAAAACGATAGAAACTTTTGCATACCTCCTAATATAAATAGACGTACATTACAAGATTGTACAAGATAGACAAAAATAAAACTAGGTATGCTAAACTTTTTACATTTGGTTTTCCACATCAAAACAGCGTTGCATTGCTTACTTGTAATTCATATGTGGCCATTTTGGAAAAGTGTTACGACGTGCCGCTTCGCTGAACATTAACGCTCTATCAGTTGGACCGCCTTCTAACGCAAGACTAGGTAATAGGCCATTTAATCGCTCATTGATCGCGGAGGCAATGGGCAGTGCCGCTATATGCCGATTTTGCCTCTTTAACTCCATCACTAAACCAGAGCACACGAGTTTCAGGGATCCGTGCGGTAGCTCCAAGCATATTGTGTTCCACTGTAATCAAATTACGATAATTCCGTTATTTTCTTCACACAGAATTCAAGAATAATTGACATGCTTGTATTAGTGCTATCAATATCGGATAATTATTCTGAATACTCTCCAAGTATATGAAATTATTTAAAAATAATCAGAAAAATAAATACTCAAATATCGGAATGCTACAATAAAATAATGTGATTAAGTATGTGTTCCATTTAATCATCATAAAATGCGATGCTACATTCAAATGCGATGTTATCGTTTCATGGACTTTAATTGCAAAGATAATTAAATATCTAGCTAATGCCAATGCTTGAGTAATAAATAGACATCTGAATGTACGCGTATATTGCGACTTGATTCATATTATCTGTAATATGGATATTTCAGTACTTTGACTAATAACCAAAATAATGAAATATTTGAATAAGATTTGCAAGTTTGGATGATAAAACTTTTTTGGGTATAACAATTACACAGTTCATATATTGATAGTACCAATAAAATTAATATTATATTGCATATTTTAGAAAACATATCTAAAATTAAAAATTCTAAACAAATTATTATTAAAACATGTTATTAAAAAAATGTAAATGTATATTTGTAGGAGAGGGTTATTTTCTTTAAGCTTCCTATAAATAAAATTTATTTCGTACATTTTTCAGTGGTTTCCTCTTAACATAATAAATGACAAAATACTGTATGAATCATCTTTGATAATCGTATTGTTGTTTATGGAAAATTTATATTTTTCTCTACAATCTCTTCAAACTCAACTCTCGTCAAAAACATCTTTCAAGATAAAATTTACTTCAGCTTAATCAAATAAAAAAAAAAAAATATAAATAGCTAAGTATACTCGTGAAAATTATTTTACTATAATATTTGAATTTTCAATTCTTCTATAGACAAGTGGAAAAATGTATCTTGATTAATAATTTTTTCAGCTCTGTATTCTTGTCATAATCTATGGTTTAAAACAAATTTATTTTTCTATCTAAAATCCTTAAAAAACAAGGCAAAACTGAAAATGCCACATTTTAAATATAAGATGTTTCTGTTTTCAATACATTTGCAATAACAACTGTTTTAATAGTAATAATAGGTTGACACAACTGATCTGGAATAACTGCAATAGTTGTCATACATGTCCTATTGCAATGTATTATGTATAATAATAAATTGATATTATATAGTATATGTATATACTTACTTTTTGAGCTTTAATACCTTTCTTCTGATTCGCTTGCGCTGCAACAATTTTACTTGACAGTTCTTGTAATACCTCTAGCAAATGTTCCACTCCTGGCAACTCTATGCACTGTAGGCATTGAACTAATATTGTAGCCTCTGACAGTAGTAGCTCCAACTTGACAACATCTTCGCTTTTGGAAACTGGAGTTTGCAAGATTGTGTCCAACAATAGCACCCCATTGTAATCACTACGTATACCAATTCCTCGTCCATCCGTATATAATACTTTGTCTACCCCCTCGGATAAATATACTCCTTGCAATTTTCCATTTGATTTACCTACAATAAACATAATTGCCACATAAGTCATAAAAATATCTTATTATCTTTCGCATGTATGGCATAAACATTTCTTGTGTCATTAATAAAAACTGTAGTTAACAATAATTTATAGAATCTGATCGTATAGAAATGTTAATTATTTTTATTGAAATTCTGATATTAGATATTAAAATCTGTTTTATTGTTATTCTATAAATTTAATATTATATTCACTTAACAATTTGATTGGACATAATATACATATTCATCAATATAATGTAATCATATAATATTAGACGATTTATATTTAGAGGTAATAATAATTATAAAATTGATAGAATGATTTCGCACATCTTTAGATAACCTCGGAAAAAATTGTGGAACAATACAATATGATTTTAAGAAAGTGCTTCCTACATGTTCATTTCTCAAGTTTACATTGCAGAATGCATCCTTATTGTAGCATGAGATAAAAGATGCTTAGAAAAAATTTTATCTTTGGATATCCGATCAAGTTAAATCTATGGCAGTTTATCAAGTTGACAGAAATAGCATGTAGAACAAAATAACAAAGAGTTTTGGGTGACTACAGACAACAGCAGATTTGTTCTCTCGCATTGAACCATTTGCAATAAAACTTATACGCATGTAGGAAGCAAAACAAAGTAGATAATTTTATGTGTGCAAACTTGAAGAAAAATGTAGTTAAAACGAACAGATCTCAGTGCGTCATCTAGATTGAAAAAAAAGTAGCGGTCAAAGATGAGCTATTTCAAGGTCACTTTTTTTGCTGGAAAATTAACGAGAAAAAAATATTGTTGCGAAAGAGTTAATCCGTGTTTCTGACACTTGAAAAACACACGCGACCTTGACTATAAGGCACTGTTGCACAGTGTTGCAAGTACGTCGGGTAAGTGCAATGTCGACGGCGTAGGCGACGGCGACGATGTCGACGGAGAGACAGTGCGACAAGAGTGCCTACTTTCCTAAGACGTTGTTCAACAGTGTAAATTAATCCGAGAGCGGTGAGAGAGCTGGATGCTTACCAGATAGAGAACTTCTCTGCAAGATCACGCCGGAGTTGACATCGAATACGTATACTTGTGCGCTACCAGTAGTGATGAGTAGAACGTTTAAATTGGCGTGATAGATTATGTTCTTGCATTCGGTATCCACGTTCAAGCAACCGTCTTCCTTCAGTAGCCACGGGTCATCATCAGCCATTTTTGCTTTATACGTATCACGCTTCAAAAAATTTCTCTAACGCTCGAACATCACAGGAAACATGGCGCATTCGTCAACGCCATCTTTGAATGGAACGTCAGCAGATCGCTCTGAATGTGGCCGACAATCGTCGGCCATGTTCAAGTCGATTTGTAATGATCGATCTATTGCAACCATTCTCGAGTTATTGAATTGAATCGTAATCGAGGTTTTATCTCGAATTCAACAGTGTTTTGAATCAAATTACGAAATTTTCTGCGAAGATCTTATGAAGAATCTTGTAGAATCTTTCTTATTTCTATTAGTTCTCGAAAATTTTCAGATGATGAAGCAATTCGAATAATTTGAATCTCGAGATCGAATAGTTTGGACATTTTGAGCTGAAGGTAAAGAATTGTCAAAACTAATTTCAGGTCCAAAAATTTGGAAATTGTAATTGAAAAATAAAATTTGTAAAATGTGTAAAAATATATACCAATTTATTAGTTCACTACTTTGTTATAAAATTATTATGTATAAATGTTTATACCTCTTGATATTTTATTCGACATTAAAAATTGAACTTTAATTATATTGAAATTTAACTATTACCATTGTTATCACTATTATTTAATATCATTATTACCATTACAATGTTTTTCACTTAATTGATTTATTAATAAAATATATTTTAACGAAACTTATTAAAACTATTAAATACGATTTCTTTAAATTTAAGTTTAATCAATAGGTTAATTTCTACATTGACTATATGCTCGACAGATAATTATTTATTATATTATTTGTTATTTCGTAAAATAAAAATTTTGAAAAAATTAAAAAAAAACCATGAAATTTATTCCAAAAATCGGATTTAACATTTTTATTCCTTAAAATATATTAAATCTAATGTGGGATTAAAGGAATGTTGTGTTTTAAATAAACATACGAGAAGCATGTGAACATGAAAGATACTATTTATTTATAATTTATAAGAATGAACAAGTAAATTTACGTAGGAAGGACACTTTGAGTAAAACACATTTACTAATAGTGTTCAAACGTAAAAAGGAGAATAAATAAAAACAAGAAAAGAATAGGAAAAAAGAACAAATAGTCAGCTTTGCCGATTCTAGACTTTGCTCTAACAATATCACGCTCGCAACACTTGAAAACGATCTATCAGAATTATTAAATGTCTCGCAAAGCGAAAGCACGTGAGTACGCGTCTCTTGCTACTAACATTCATACGTGTACACACATATGTATATATTATATATATATATATACCAGCAAGAAAAAAAATATATAACTCCAAAGGGACGCGCGTTAAACATGCCTTTTTTTTCTCTTACTTTTCTCCTACAATATAATCTAACGCGACGGGCGTTTAATAAACTAGTAAAGTACAAACAGGAGTTCCATATGAGAGAATACATTAAGCTCAGGTTTATATACTTATAACTACGCTCTTATGAAAACGTGGTTTTTGTATGCTGAACCTCGCGTCACACAACTCGTGCTAGTCACTCTGACCTTTTAATTCGAAGACTGTTATCAGAGTTATACAAAGGTGTATTATATGTAAATGTATATTTAGTCGCAGATAATCTGCAAAAAGATTCGTGTCATCGTGTAAATTTATGTCACTAGTACGGGATAGAGAGAAATAGGACATCTCGTGACTATTTTCATGTGTGTATCGCGATCGTGCGCATAGAATGGTCCACGTTTTTCGTGCTACACTTAAACCGAAGACGATATGCATCGCGTGTGTCGCATATAGTTTTCGGCGTATAAAATCAAGACGGTCGTTTGAGCAAGAATCTAAAACATCGTTTCCTCGTTTCAACTAGCGAACTAACAATAAGCCTACGCGATTGATATAAATGTTTACGCATGTATCATGCTGCTTCGATATCGTTCACGGAAGATCAATGCGATGTTATGATAGAAAGTCACTTCGAAACTTAATAATTTTCTTTTCAATTTTTAATAAATAAACCTTTGCGTCTCGCATAAAAAATAATATATAATTTTCATATATTATATATTATTTTTTTTATCGATTTATAATATATCATTATTCATCATATTGATGTAACATATACTTTGACGTTGTAAGCACATGGTTAATTATTTCTTTTACGACTATTTGCTTATGAATATTAAGTAAAGAAGTGATGGAGAGAGAAAGAGAGCGAGAGAGAGAAAGAGAGAAAAAGAGAGAAAGACATCACGATTTATCTGATAATTTGTTCCGAATTTTCTCGAAGCAGCACCAGCATCACATTACACGGTCGGAGAATGGATCTATTCTGGCTCTAATCGAAACGTCGATCAGAGTTATAGCCTATAGCTCAATATAATTTGTCCGCATCGAGACAAATACGATAGGTACAATATATTATTGACAATCATTACGGCAGATCCTACTATCAAATACATATGTATATGTATAATTAGGTACGCTTTGTGCAAGTAATCGTTGTGTGACAAAATGGTAGGACAGTGACTTTCACACGTTTCGAAAGACAGATGCGCCATTTGAAAATGATGCCGTTTTCCCCTTTACAACGAGAGTAAACGGAGAGGATTCGATCGGAGAGATATATATATGTAAAGTATATAAAGGTCTTCTACCACAGCCCATTTAACGATATATATAATATATATATATATAATTCACGTATTATTATTATTATTAATTATTATTATTACGCTTCTCGCATCGTACAATTAATACGAGAGAGATTTGTAGTATTAATAGTGTATACCGAAACGCAATAAAATCAAATCAAATATTAGTTTTTCTATTTCGCCTTCCTCGCGTCCTACGCGTTTATCCCGAGATTTTCACATTTATTTCCACGTTTCGTTTGGTAAATGCCCGCTATTGAGATGAAATAGCGAACGTCGGCGATATACGAAACAGCTAAGTATCGTATATATCGTGCGTATATCGATATTTCGTTATAAAATACCGAAAGTACTCTATGGGACAAGGAGGAAGCGTTATCCAATTCACGTCTAAACGTTCTTTATTTTTAATTTTGCATTTTTTTTCCTTTGGTTTCTTTCCCTTTTTTTGTTTTTTTTTTAACGTTGCTTAGAGAAGGATTGTCATTTGTTTCAATAATAACACGCGGTAGATTTATCAATTACAAATCACAGCCTAGAAGCATTGAAGTTTCACAGAAAAACCTCGAGAATTCGCGCTTAATATTCGGCCGATTGTATTAAAACGTTACACTTTACGTAACATTAATAGAAGCGATTGGCGCGAAGAACGGCTCGCTGTCTTGTGATGTGTTTTCTCTTATAGGAGCGGTTACATATTTTTTTCTGCATTATTTCAGAATGATTCGCGCTATCAACGCCAATTACATATCGCAAAGAGCACAGGATGCGCAATGTGCACGTAGAAACTTTTAAAAGTAATCATCACGAAGGAGAACGTGTGTTTCCGGTTTTCCTCACGATATGTCAAAGTATTGATAAAAACTGTCGCCCGAATGATTAAAAAAAATTAATCACAGACGAATCACACGAAGAACAAGGAGAAGAATGAGAGTAATCCCAACAACTATGGCAATGACAACGACAACAACGATAACGATAACGATAACGACGACGACGACGACACGAAAATGCTATACGCAGTCAATACGATTGACGTTGACACATTTAATACATGGAAACTGACATAACGAAATAACAAAGAGACGCGGAAATCAACAGCGAGTTTCAAATGTCGGCAAAGATCAAGAGATCGGCTAACTCCTAATCATCGTCATTCGCACAATTTGATTTTGGATCAATTTCCACAGCTTTGCTTTCTCTTTTTGTTCCTTCCTTCTGTTTCACGTTTCGTTATAATCGCGGGAGTACAACCGTTTAATCATCTGCTGTATGTGGATGTGTAAAAATCTTACAGTTAAATATAAAAATAACGCACGTGGCAACACTCACGCTTGCACAATCTATCGGTATCGATGTTTAATAGGCGCCCTTTGTAAATGAGAGAACAGCAGATTTTGCACGAAGAAGTCGAGACTCTTTTTTTTTTTTATACATCTAATCGCTGTCACTACGTACGAACGCGAGGAAACGAAATGAGAGTGATATATGCAAGATGATCCGACATTTTCCAAGCTTGGAGATTGAAGAGTCGTTTCGAAGGAATAATCCGTGTTTCTTGCATCTCTTGTGGATTTTTCATGGTGTGTGTCACAATCGCGATACGCGCGCGCACACAATTCGCGTGTGTGCGAGACCGAATCCCGTTTCCACCCTAGGTATATTAAATATTATTGTAGCGTAATCGTTGTACAGTATTTATTTATTTTTTTTTTTTAATGGTCCGCAAACCGAGCACCTCCGCTCGATCTCGTCGACGTGATAATAGGCCGATCCCCGTTTTATATGCTTACTCCTTTTTTTCTCTCTCTTTATTTACCCTGAATGCACATGACGCCTCGAAGAGCGGTGTGACGCGATTGTCTTGAAATTTGATTCACGAGCGGAAAAAAAGTTCGATGTCGCCTTTACTCGCGTCGCGTTTCTCCGAGACGCGCGCCGTAAGAAAATCAGATCACGCCAACAAGTTTAATCTCACTAAAAGTGGCTAAAAAGTGGCGAACACGCGATCTTTCGCTTAGTCTCTTCACGCTTAGTCTTCGTATTCGACTTACTTCGATTGTAATAAAGCAAGACTATAAAGCCAAAATGCAAAATTGTTCAGTCAATTCGTTGATTCAAAGTCATTTGCAAGTTGGAAAGAGTTTTAATACTATTTAGCATTATTAGGAACAAATCGACAGGTTTTACTCTTAAAATCTACCGGACGCGACTTGTGAATTACATTCTTGGTTCACGAATTACTTTCTTAAGTACCGAAGAGCTTATTTCCAAGAGTCCTAAATACAAATTTTAAACAAATGGAGGAGATTATGCGTTACAAAGTTTCTCATGATTGTGGAAAAATGACATATAATCGTCATTTTTCTAATTACTTAGTCGGCAACGTTCTGTATAAACGTCAAAAATTAATATATTTACAATAAGAGCAAATAAATTTTGAGTGAATGATCAATCGATTGAGATTTTTTCCGCTGTTAATTTTTAAATATGATTTTATAACATCTTAGCTGTAGCACATTTTTGCTTTGTCATTAATTTCATAGTCTTCTTGTACATGTTGCAGTTAAAAAAGTCGGTTAAAAATAGTGGTGGCTAAATTTGCAAAAAGAATATTTGATATCACCCAAAAGTACATAGAAGAAATTATAAAATAAGAAATAAGTTGTTTAACATTATCATTACTTCAAACAATCATATGCTAAATAATTTGAAAATTTGCACCTTTTGGTGTCGAATCAAGTTGAAAGTATTCGAGTGTGTTTAGCGTAAGAAAATGTGAAATCAATTTTCTGCCACTTTTCGGATTTAAGAGAATTCGTAAAAATAAGCTCTCCAACTCTGTTAAGTTCTATTCGCTTCGCTGCAAAGTTATCCCCGTCAGAATCATTCAACAATCAACAGCTGATATACAAAACGGTCAAAACACTGCCGATTATACCTTACGACGACGTCCACGTGATCCGCGGTCGCAGACGCTCCCGTCAACGAGTTTAATCGAGGATTTTCAGTGAGCCTAACACACTATATCATTTATATCAGTAGGGTCATCGCGGAATACGAGCGCGAGTTCTAATGCGTAAACGGCTTACGAGTTGCGTGTATGTATGTGTATGTGTGTGCGTCTCTAAGACAAATGGCTAACGATATTTAACGCAAATTTTGCGTTCTCATTTCTCTTCGCACAGAGAGTAGATGTTTGTCTATCATTTATCTAATACAGTACGTCATGTAAAATAAGCAGCGATGTATTACTAGTAGACTAACCGGCAAGACAGCACCATTTCTTATAGACGGTCGAGCGAGATAATTAAACGCTTTTCCATTTCGCATCATCACATAGAAATTACGCTGGTTTGCTTAATTATCGACCCTGGTCAATTTATGCGAAACATCTCTAAAATCGCGCGATTTCAATGAATTCAAATCTCCGCCACGGGGCCACGTAGGCTCGACGTAAAAGAGAGAAAAAGAATCTTACGTCTCGTTGCTGCTCGCTCGTTTGCGAGCAAGCGTAAGAATTATTATATATATGGCGCACGATGTCGGAGTTTAAATTCAACGAAATCAGCTTCAATCCTCGACACTTACACTATACAACGATATATATATATATATAAACAAGAAACGACGAACAACGCGGCGGGAAGAATTGTTCGTGGCAGGGACGTGCATACGTGCGCCGTCAAATTTTCGCAATTAAGTGTCTAACATCGTTAGGCGATCAGGAAGCTTTAATGACCTGAGCTTATTCGCGCTATATTTGTAATTATCTAGGGCCGTAACACGCCTAATGAACAATCTATCTGAACTACGCTTTTTGTCTTCACCCACTCTCTTTACTCAATCGCTGTCCGAAGAGAGATAACAATGTTCAAATTTGCAGATATGCAACTTTAAGAATTTCCCTCTTCGGGCAGATTGCAAAGAGAGATATAGAGAGATATAGAGAGATAGAATGTATGTACGTAGGAGACAGAGACAGGAAGAAGAGGAAGAAAGGGAGAGAGAGAGAGGGGGGAGAGATAGAGGA